CGTCTCTCAATGCCAGAGACTGGTGAAAAGGAAAGGAATTATTTATTTAAGAGTTATACAGACTTAGAGTAATGACTTAATGTCTTCATCAAAATACATTAAAGTTCTTTAGGATGCCCACAGACGCACACAGTCCTTCCTTCTCCCTCTGCCCTAGTCCAGGGTACCGTATCTCAGGAAAAGAAGCAGAAGTCCGTGATTCAGGCTCCCGGCACCATCATCTGTGTCGCCGCCATGATCTCCAGTTAATCCAGAGCCATGTGGCACCTTCTCATGACCCACCAGCAAAGGTCCTTTCACCCCTTTTCTTCCAGGGAAAGTTTCTCCTGCTTCCTAAGCCACGTGGCAAAACGGAGCAACCCAGAGCCTCGTGGTTCTGACTCTCGTCAAAGCCACAGGGTCCTCACTCTGCCAAAGCCGCGTGGTTCTCCCTACTGCCACAGCCACGTGGTCCTCTCTTGGCATGGCTGCTGCGCCTGGGTTTTCCTCTGCAGCCCCATTTCTGACTCCTCCCACAGCCAGTTACACCTGCCAGCACTCCCATATTCTTCTAGCTTCACTGGGCTGCCATAGTAAGTTTGGGCAAGTGCGGCCCCATCGCACAGAGCCAGTCTTCTCCAAGCTCTCACACAGGCGCTATAACCAGGGGGAGTTGCCTCCCAGTTACATCCTGGGTGGAAGTCACTTCCATCCCCCCCCGCCCCCCGAACATGGCCACAGCTGTGTAACATATCTATGAAACCAGTTAAAGGTTATAGATGTGTTAAATGCCACACCAGAGGTTAGCTGCAAAGCTGTTGCTATGCAAAACAGCTCTCAGTGGCCCTGCTCCATGTGTCCCTTCCCCCAGCTCAGACTTGAGGGGGTGAAGACATCCTATATATACATATTTCTAATATTTCCTGGACACCTTGAGTTCTGGACCCCATTACAAATCCCAATTTGGGACTCCCCTCTTGGCTGCACCCTGTTACAGGAGGAAGAGAGAGGGAGAGAAATGTCACTGTGGGAGAGGAACATCGCTTGGTTGCCTCTCGTATGCGTCCCCACCATGGGTGGACCCACAACCCATGCTTGTGCCCTGACTGGGCACCACTCGAAAGGGACACCATTCAGTTTGCAGGACAACGCACGCCCAACCAGCCGATCCAAACCGGTCAGGGCATCCGTGCATGCCTGTAGTTATTTTCTCACTAGCATGTTTTGAGAATGATAAGTGCGCACACACACACACATTTATTGTTAAGACACACAATTATGATTAAGTTCCATTATCTTTGCAGGGGTGTGGTGAAGTGTCTGCGTATGTGTTGTTCCCTGCTGTGTAGGTAGCCCCATGACAGTGGTTGCTGAGACTGTCCCTGCCTTAAAAGGCAGTCTTGGAAGACCAATGTGAACTAGCCTCTAGGCAGCTATCGAAGCTCCCTAGGAACCAGTTAGAGCAGCCTTGGACTCTGGATGTTTGTGGGTTGTGGAAAATCCCCCAGGGGAAGGAGTGACTGGAATTAGAGGCAGGTCATCTTAGTTGCTTCAGTTAAAAAAGAAGAGTAGAGTTGGGGTTGCGTTGCCATCTGTGGGAAGGGGAAGCCAGGGGAGAGAGCCCCCCCAGCCCCCCTTGCCAGGGGTAGAGCTGAAACCGACAGTAGCCGATTGTGGCCACGGAGCTGCCGTCCCTCGAGTAGAGAGTAGGATGTGTTTAGTGTGTATCACCAACCAGGAAAACCCATTTCCCCCTTCTCTCCAACCCATAAACAAGTCTATAATCAAAAGCTTAAAGTTTAGATGTTTGGAATATTTCATTGGAAACGTTTCTACTCTGCTTTTTTCCTGCTCTGCATTCATCTGACATCGATTATATTTCCCTAAAGTCTACTTTTTTAAAACAATTTTTTAAGAGTGAACTTCAAAAATTTTTTTAATTGAATTGATTGGGGTGACATTGGTTAATAAAATTTTTTAAAAATATTTTATTTATTTATTTTCTTAGAGAGAGGGGAAAGGAGGGAGAAAGAGAGGGGGAGAAACAGTGACTGGCTGCCTCTCTCACACCCCCAACCGGGGACCTGCAACCCAGACATGCGCCCCAATTGGGAGTTGAACCGGCATCTTTTCTGTCTGCAGGCTGGCACTCAGTCCGCTGAGCCGCGCCAGCCAGGGCGGTTACTAAAATGATACAGGTTTCAGGGGTGCAGTTCTGTAACACATCATCTGTGTAGGTGCTGTGCTCTGCCTCCCCTGCCCACCCTCTTTCCCCCTTGTGATCCCTGTGCTGTTGTGTCCCTGAGGGTTTGTTTCTTTTTAACCTACTCTTCTGCTTCTCAGCTTGGTCTTCTGCTTAACCACTCTTTTAAACTTTTATTCTTTAGAAAGAAATAGAACTATACTCTGAAATTTTCTTTTATCAAATATTATCTTCTCCCCATTTATTATTACTAATATGCATTTTCTTTGTGGATACATGCTTAGCTTGAGAACTAAAATGACATTTTTTGATACTTTATTGGGATTTTCTAGACTGGATATAGTCATTAAAAAAATTCTTGTTAGTAATTTGTTTTTAAACAATCCCAGAGGCATGAGTGCCTAACGTAGCTCATGGCTTGTTAACCCTGTTTACTGCGAGGTATTGGGTTGGCCAAACCTTTTGTCTGTGCAGCAGCACAGGTACAGGGGGTCGCCAGGGTGGGAAGCCCAGGTGCCTACCAGCGGGCAAAACAGGGAAAACAAGGACCTCGCCCCCAGGTAGCCTTTCCTCCCCTGCACAGCACCGGTCACTGGGTCTAGAACCCCTGACCTTTCGTACCGCTGGTCATGTGGTTTAGGTCCCCCGGCTCGTCCTCCCTGGAGACAGCATTTAGGCCTCAGTTGTGTTTCGGCTTCGGGCCCGGAAAAGAAGCGAAACCAGACCAACGACACCGACGTGGGCCTCAGGAACAGCTGCGCGGACTAGCAACCCCTGCCCTGACACAGTCCAGTCGTGGAGGCCGGGGCCCTAAAAGGACACACCTGGAGAGCTGGTGCGTCGTCTGTGGAGACCCTCCCTTGGGGCCCACCTTAAAGCCCGGGGGAGAGAGGGCCCAGCGCACGCCTCCCCCAGCACCTCCGCCGCCCCTTCCCTGCTTGTCCCCCCCGGCGAGCTGCCTTTACCTCCCTCTCTCCTAAGCTCCCGAGGCCCTTGTTTTGCCTCTGCAACCTATTTCCTGAACCCATTTCTTCTACTGCCCACTTCCTGTACCCCTGCGACTTCCTAAACAAACTTTCTCTTCGAGTTTGAGTCTGGGCTGGGAGTTCTTTCCGGTCAGAACAAGTACTGCGAGGTCGCTGAACCAAGGTTTGGTCCGACTCCACCTGTCTAACGCCTGGTGCCATTCTCACCTCCGACAGCACTTCCTGAGATTTTTGGGTGTTTCGTTTGATTCATTGACACGTCACACACACACACACACACACACACACACACACGTGTAAAACGACTCATCTGAATTAGGGTGTCTCAAGGAAAGTATGTGTGAGCACTGCTGCCTTGCTCCTGCCTGCCCCCTCCTGCTACTGGTGAGCGCTGAGTTGATGCTGGGCTGTGCTCCAGGGATGACAAGACAGCTTCCCTGCCTCTGGGAGCGCAGAGCAGGGGTTAGAGTGCGCTGGGGCAGAAGTTCGTGCCAGGTGCTCTGGGAGGTGGCGCAGGAGAGATGCCGGTGTAGGTGGGTTTTTCAGTTTTAGTTTTTGTTTTTAGAGAAAGAGAGGTAGGGGGAGAAAGAGACATTGACTTGTTGTTCCAGTATTTATGCATCCGTTGGCTGATTCTTGTATGTGCCCTGACTGGGGATTGAGCCCACCTTGAACCTACAACCTTGGCGTATCAGGACGATACTCTAGCCAACTGAGCCGCCCAGCCAGGGCAGGTAGGTGGGTTTTAAAGGAAGCGTTCCATCCTGGCAAGGGGCAGCAGGAGTGGCGACGTGTGGAAAGGAAGAACCCAGTACTTAGGGGGCAGGGAGTGGCCAGGCACGATGGCAGGAACACAGGCTGCATGTGGTGGCTGTGGCAGGAGAAGAGGACAAGTCGAACTCAGACCGGAAAGGGTCTCTCCGGTTAGCACTTGACCCCACAGATCAGTGAGTTCTTAAATCCTGGCTCCCAGACCAGGTGCATTAGCATTTCTTGAGAACTTGATAGAAATGCAAATACCTGGACCCAGCCCTAGACTTTCAGGGTCAGGTGTTTTGGCGGGGGGGCTAGGCTGTTTCACCAGCCTTCTAGGGGACTGCCCAGGCCGGGAAAAGAATAGTCGAGGCTCTTTGAGCAGCCTTGAATTTTAGAAAGGTCACTCTGGGGGTCCTGTGGAAGGTGGGATGATGTCGGGTAGTTAAGGCTTGAGTTATTGGCGTTTTTGTGTGGGGTGCAGGTCTGGGCTGGAGGCAGCAGGAAGGAGGAGAAGATGGAGGTGCTGGAGGTAGATTTCGTAGGACTTGATTGCTGCTAGGCAGTTTAAACGCTGAGAAAACAGCGGTGCTTTGCTCTGGGACCTGGCCCCAGTCGGAGATGGAGGGGATTTAGGGGCCCTTGCCGCCTTGTGTGGTTAGGGAGTATCTCTTACTGATAATGAAAAAGCAGGTTCAGGTAATTTGCCTGAGCCTCTTCAGTCTTCTCTGGGGTGTTGCTGGCTTAACCGGAACGAGGGGTCAAGTTGCACACGCAGGGCCCAGAGTCTTAGAAAGGACGGTAAGCCGTGGGAGAGCGGAGGCAGTGGTTTCATTCAGATATCCCAGCTACTGGCAAGTCTGATGAACAGTACAGGGCACGCAGACCTGTGTTGTGCAGTGTCTCCAAGTTGGCGAGGTAGACCCTCCTGCTATTTGAATTTCACCAGTCACTAGCTCCATTTGGTATACGTGAGTATAAAGGTGGGTCTCCAATTTCAGTTATAGCGATCAGTCTGCTGAAAGCTTTATTCTTCAGTATTTTTAGTTGTTTTTTTTCATATCTGTTTTGTTTTACAGATTCCTAAGACTCCAGGGCCTTCACGCTGTGACTCGTCAGGCGGTTCCTGAAACGACCGGGAGAGCGGACGCTTTGCGCACCCGCTGAACAGCGTATGTCTGTGTACGTTCAAAACCTCTCCATGCACACACACTCATTCACGGAGACAGGCTCGTTCCGGTGCACACCTGAAGCGTTTCACAACTAATGAGAGTTAATTTGGGAATCAGATGGAGCAACTTGACACCTCCGGGCTCAGGAGCCCGGGGAGAAAAACACATCAGTGATGGCCAGTTTTCCATGTGGTCTTCACGGGTAAAGAAAGTTTCAAAAAGAAGGAAAAAAAAAAACTTGCGCAGATCAAGCCACAGAAATACCTCTCCAGTTTAAAGCAGGAGCTAAGTGAGACGGTGACGAAGAGAGGAGAGTGAGTTCACGCAGTGCAGGGGGGACCAGGCCTTGGTTTCCGCGCTTTATTTTTCCGTGGACCTGGTGACTCGGACGGGCTTGACAGTCCTGGGCTGACAGGCGACCGTTACCGGAAGGATGTGACCGGAGGAGAGGCGGTTCAGGTTTGACGGGACAAGCCAGAGCAGGGACCCGGTTCCTTTGCCCTCTTCAGTTGACTGTGTCCGCGAAATTTTAATTTATTATTTCCCTTTTTTTTTCCTGTGTAGGATAATATCTTAGGTAGCAGTGGAAACCAATAATTACAAAATATCAAGGAACGTCCAGGCAAAGCTTCTTTTCCCTGTTCTGTCCGTGTGGACTTTGGAAACATTCTCTGAATGTGAACTGGAAAGGGCCCGTCCGCAGAACGTGGGGAAGAACCCAACCTGTGCTGCTGTGTTTCCGTTTGCAGGGACTCCCTTTTCCGCGGAGTCCAGGAGGACCTGCATATGTGAGGGGAGGATTACGCGGTGGACTTAAGTCTGAGTTTAGTTTTTATTTCCTTCGCGATGAAAAAGGACGTGGTGTCTAGAAGCAGAAAGGGGAGAAGTTAGACTGGGGAAGGGAGGAAGGAGGAGACGGACGACACCCTGCAGCGCGGCTTCACCTGAGGCAAACGCCTGGACCGTTGTCAGGGCTTTGGGACATTCTAGCTCTGCGGAGTGAAGGGCCTTCCCCGCTCTCCACCCCCATGGCACGGAGGGCCGCGTGGGCCTGCGGAGCGGCGGTCAGATAGAGCCCAGCGCCCCCTGGGACACGGCGACCCGCCGGGAGGCCTGGCTGTGCCCCGAGGTGGGGCGTTTGGGGTTCTGAAGAGTGGGAAAGGCGTCTTCTCTTCCTAAGCGTGGATTGCCGCCCGCACAAACTCTGGTGGTTTTGCACGGGTTGTGTGCCTTTTTCCCCCCTTTATGCAATCTTTCTCAGCTTTAGCAGCAGCAGAGATTTGTTGAGAAAAGCATGCCAGAGGATGGCGTTAGAGAGAGGATGACCCCGTGTTCTGTGTCTGCATCTGAACTTTTGAAGACAAAATTCCAGCTCGAGGGATTCTTAAAGCCTTAAGTTACTTGAAATCTATGTATTTGCAACCCTTGGTCTCTGGAATCACGTTACACTAAACTGGAATCTCAGGCTGAAGGAGCATAACCAAGTCGAGGGGAAGGAAGAAAACTCGGTTTCTCGATCACCACATACTGACAAGGCTCTCTCTCCAGAGGGTCAGCCCACTGTTCCTCTAAGGACTTGAAACTGAGAGGGGACCCCGCGTTTTTTTAAGCATCACCTTTTCTTACCAGACTGCCATCATCTTTTATAGAGGAATTTTTTCACTATGCATTTGGTGGATCTTTATAAATTACTGACCTTCTAATTAGATCCAGGTCAATCTTAATTAACGGGGGTCAGGGAAAACAACGCAAGCCAACCACAAAAATAGAATAAATCAATGAAAGGAATTGATTGACATTTTTGGGGCATCCAGCATTACTTTTTGAGGAAAACAGTTCACTGGAAAAAAGTATGTACGCAGCGGTGGAGCAGGGGCCAGTCCTTTGCAGCGACTCCAATATCCTCTGCCTGTCTTGGAAGGGGCGCGTCCCCAAGAGCGAGAAGGAAAAACCTGTGTGCCGGAGGCGCTACTACGAGGAGGGCTGGCTGGCCACGGGAAACGGCCGGGGCGTCGTGGGCGTGACCTTCACCTCCAGCCACTGCCGCCGGGACAGGAACACCCCACAGAGAATTAACTTCAACCTGCGGGGCCACAACAGCGAGGTGAGCTGGGGTTTCCTTTCACCGTTGGGTCATTTCTCCAGGTAGTTTTGTGCATTCTGGCCCCCTCCCAGCGCCCCACTCCCTTCCGTGGACTCAAAGCTTACTTGGCTTCAGTTTCTTAGATTTGCCACCAGGTGAGACTTTGCAGAGTGTGACTTCTGTCTTTGGTTTTGGTGGGAAAGTTCTAGGGCAGATACAGTGCCCATTGCGTAGTTACCAAACCTTCACCCCGCTCCACCGCCGTGAGCAAACCCCACGCTCCTTCCACCTGATGTGCCCCCTGACGTGCCCTGCGGCATCCAGTGAGGGACTGCTGGGGGTCGGGAATGGGCCCCGGCCTTCGGGCAGGGCTCGGCTGTGATGTCGGCTCTGATGACCTGATGTCACAGCTGGAAAACTCGGGACTCTCTTTCTTTTGGAAAACGATGTCTTACGGATACTATTGCTGTCATGCAAGTGAGTCATGGCTAGTACTGGTTTTTTATTTAAGGGGATTGCCTTTACTTAGGAGCAGATAGGTTTACCTGGTCATGTGTGTTTGGTGGAAGAACTGATCTCATCATAGGGACATGTCACTGTAGGAATGGTCTCACCTGGATTCTTGGATTTGGCTACTTCTTTCTGAGAAGGCTTCCCGGCCCAGTTTCTTCCTCCATTGCACCCCACCCCGCTTGCCCCTTGTGCTCTGAGCAGCCTTCTGTGGGTGTGTTGGCAATGACAGTTATCTGCCGTGTGGGTTGGTGAACTTTCTGGAAGATCGTCCGTTCCTGTGGTCTTCCTCACCTCACATTCTTTAAATGCCATTTATTTTAGTTCTCTGTAACTCATCAACCCACTTCAACATGGCTTTCCCCCTACCCCTCAAAGTGGAACGGTCTCATTCGCAGTGACGTCACATTGCTGTAAACCCCGAGGTCCCTGGGTTGCAGTGGATGTCGGGTGGTGTTCAGTGGAATTGAAGTGTCACTTTCTCTTGCTTTCCAGGACGCCACCCCCTCTTTGGGTTTTCCTCATGCCTTCATGCTCCCCGCCTTTCGTCCCTCCGCCTCCCCTTTTAAGTGCCGGGGACCCCAGGCATGCAGCTCTTTCTAGGTGGGCTAAGCTGGTTTCGAATCTCCCTGTACCCTGGTGGTTCTGTATCTCCCGCTTGCCTTCACACTCTCGTTCCAGACCCCATTCTTCAGCTTGCCCTTTGAAATGCAGAACCGGATGCCCGCCACGAGGCATCTCCAACTGCAGGTCACCCAACAGAACTCGCCTTCCTGCTGCCCCTTCAGCCACCAGACCTACTGCACCCTCTGTCTTCTCCCCGGAGCAGCCAGCCATGAGGCTACAACACAGAGGCCACCCCGCCTCCCCCCTTTTCCCAGTCCAGTTATGAGATGCGGTGCCCTGTGTGTCCGACTTCCAAGTGGTATCCGGGACCTGTCTCCCTCTCCCTGCTCCTGCATCTTCATGGGTCTTTGGTCTTAAACTCTGCTGCTTAACCTATTGTGGAGGGCTCTGCTTAAGAGTATATATTCATATTTAGTTTCTTGAGTGTTAAAATAGTTTTTAAAATTTAATGTACTTTATCTTTTCTCTTTCCTAGAAACACTTGTGTGACATATGTCACAATTCCAAAAAGGGTGGAAATTTCTAGGTGACAATGTTCTCTTTTGCAGTTGAATCTTAGGTTTCTGTTGTGTTCACGATAAGTCTGAAAACCTGGACTTGGCCTTCAACTCCTTCCTGTGGTTCACCCTGCTTCCTCTGGTTCGCCCTGCTTCCTGTGGTTCGCCCTCCTTCTAGAAGATGCCGAGCTACTGGGGATTGCCAGGCCTGGTCCTGTCTCGGCATCACTGTGTTTGATGAAAATCAACCTTCTTAAACTTAGGAGAGATTTGAAAACCACTTTGGATTTTAAGACATTTATACAGGGTTTTAACATCTATAAGGATCTGTACACTAATTCGAGTGAGAAAATTGGGCTAATTTTGTATTAAAGCCACTGAAAAGTCACTGCAAATTTTTTATCTTCTAATACATTCTTTGTAAAAAGTGAATTTTAGTACGCTTGTGTCGTAGTGACGTCTGTAAGGGAGAACCGCGTTTTATTTCCTGTGGCAATGACCTTGTTTCTGCACCCCGCCCCTCTCCGCCCATTCCCTGTTTCCTGTGTCTCTGTTCCATGGAGTTCTAGCTCTGTCACTCACATGGTTGGGGTGGTCCTGGGTAAGTCATTCGTTTATTGACGGTTCAACTGAAATAATAATTCCTTTATTTCAGAGTTGTTGTGAGAATCTATGGGAATGTATTTTTGATGGAGCTTTGAAAATGCTGAATGCCGTGTACACAGTGATGTTAAAGCACCTCATAATCCTTACAGTACCGTTAATACCCTTAATTACAGGTACCAGTCTGACTTGGGAAGCCAGAAACAATGTTTTTTTTTTTTTATTTCTGTTTCACACTTACGATTTTAACACAGAGGCAGTCAGCAGATAATTGATTGCATCTCTGACATGTGTGCTGAATGTATGTGCTTTTGCCACCGCGGGGCAGGACAAATCATGGATTTTGCCTCATGGAGTCCATAGCCCAGCAATGAAGGTGAGGTGTGGACCTGGACGTCTTGTTCTGCATTTGCATTTCAGTTCAGTACAGAAAGAAAGCTCTGGGTTATTGGAGGAATTAAGGGTGACGATTTTCACCACAAATCTTTCTGGGGGGGTGGTGCTGGGTGGAGGGCTTGGAGCATGAGCTAGATCTTAAAATCCCTTCAGTTCTGTAAACAGTGAGAGCCCACGTGAGGCTGAACACTGCTGGCCTTTTTGGTGTCACAACGGTGAAGAAGGAGCTGCTTCTGCCCAGCTGACCTGCCTGTGGGAGGATGGTTATTGTGGGTTGCATGGAAATAATGCTGCTGCCACTGCTAACAGTTGCCAGATGTTATATGGCCACGATTTTCTAAGTGCTTTATGTGTGTTATTTTGTGTAACCCTCATAACAACTCTCTACAGTTTTGTTTTATTATCCCTGCTGTGCCTTTGAAGAATCTGACTTTCAGGGATGTTATGGAAGTTGTCCAAGGCGCAGAGCTGGGTGACAAAGATGGCAGACCCAGGTTTCAGGTCATGTCCGTGTGTTTCTCATTCTGAGAGACACCGCTTCAAAGGAGGTGAACCACAATGGGCCCAGGAACAGTCATGAGGGACTGTGGGGTGGGTTTCGGGCAGTTGCGGGTTTGGTGAGGAATTGGAGGGTAGCGCAGGGCAACGCTGGTCTGAACTCTGAGTAGTTGTGAAAAGAAAACAGCAACAATAAATGTTCATGGGGTGAGAGAAGGCGATGCTTTTGGTTTGGGCTGCATTCTAGGACTTAGAAGACTTGTATTCAAATAGAAGTATTAAAAGAATCGAAAGTGATTATAAAAGTTATTATTCAGTTCAATGCATTTACCCACGATTGTGGATATCTGCGAGTTGACAGCGTTGGATGTCTTTAGTTTCTTGTGGATATAATGGTTTTCGAGACGCCTGTAAACATTAGCCACCGTGATTCTGTGGTAGTGCATGAATGCGCCTAGCTAGACTCTTGAGGCAAGAGTGTAGCCAGTTATTAATAGATGGGAGGTGTTGAGAAACAGATCTTTTAAATGTGTTTTATCAACTCTTATTTTGATTAGGGAACTGGCCTAGCGGAGAGGAAGAGACAGGAGTATTTCAGTATATTAAGGTCAGAATTTTGTTTCACCTAAAGTGATTTAATCTGTTTTTATACCGAAGCTCAGTAGTGTTAATTTTTATCATAGTAATACTTACACAAGAATAAATGCTAATAATGAAAAATAGCAATGTTCTACCTCTGGTTCCCTTCCTGTCTGCCTTCTCCCAAGGGCTTATATTTTTTTTTTTATCTTTTCAATTAATCAGTTTTGGGATTTGGGCTGTTGACTGTTTTCCTGTCTTGGGAAGTGGAGATTCGGCTCTCCCTTTCTAAGTCATTCAGCCTGACTTTGCCCTGCTACACCTGATCGTCCCAGCATTACTCTGGTGTAATAATTGGTTAGCTCATAATTAGTATTTACATTTTTTAAACGGTGCCAACATCATGCCCAGTTGAACCAAGTAGAGTACTATGGCTATATTTCCTTTATTATTGAACTTTTTTTCCCTCATGATAAAAATTGTGTTCTATTTTGTTTTGTTTTTTTGCAGTGGTTTTGTTTCTTTACCTATTGTGAATCTTCCTATATCTTCAATATGTTTCTGCACATTCACATCAATGAGATGATCTGTCAGTTCTTTTTGTTATTTTCCTGGAGACTTCCACCTTGGAGTCCTTTGCCCTCCTGCTCTCTCTGGGTTGGTGCCCCAGCGGGCCCCAGCCAGCGGGCCCCAGCCAGCGGGCCTGTGTGCGGCTGACTTCCTGAGCTGCCTGTTACCATCATCTCGGGAATTCCTTTGTCCCTTATTTCTGCTGGATCCGTTATTTTTCCTATCTTGTATCTTTTTCTTTCTTGGTTTAACAAATTCTTTTTGGTTGCAGTATACTTATACTCTTCAGGATCTAAGAAACAATTTGTAAGTCATGAGTTTTAAGACTTGTACGAGGGAGAACCCAAAAGAGAAAAAGCAGAATTACCTTCCGGAGGGTGGGTCCCCCGTTGGCCAGGCTTCCTGGCCGGGTGAGTGTTCCAGGATCCCATCTGGATCAGCGTACCAGTTGGCGGTGTTGTGAGAGGCTGCGTTCGACTGCAGTGAGTTTTTTTTTGAAGTGTTTTCCCATTTTGTGATGGGTGGTTTACAAGTGCACCTGCCCACACTATGCTGAGCATCGAGCAGTTTTTAACCAAAAATGGCATGATCCTTGTGCCCCACCCTCCCTATTCACCTGATCTCACCCCCAAGTGACTTTATTTTTTTGTTTCCCGGCATGGAAAAGGTCCTCAAAGGGAAACATTTTATGGATTGGAAGAGGTGAAACGAGTGGTAGAAGCACTGAAAGGCATCAAAATT